AGCATAAAGTTGGATTATTTTATGTTTGTTTGATCTATTCTGCCAATCTGGAGTGTTTTATCCATTTACATTCAATTATTTAATTTAATTATTTAATTAATTAAATATTTGAAAAGGAATGATTTACATCTCTTATTTTGCTTTGTGTATATACATATACATATATATAATGTTTATTTTGTTCCTCTATTCCTCTATTGCTGCTTTATTTTGTGTTAAATAGATATTTTCTAGTATACCATCATTTTTTTTCCCCTTCACTATAGGTTTTTGAGTTATTTTCTTGGTGGTTGCCTTGAGAGTTGTAATGAACAACTTAAACAATATTTGGATTAAGGGCAATTTAATTCCAATAGTGTATAAAAATTTTGCTCCAATCTTGCCTCAGTTCCAACTCCTGCTTTTGAATTACATATTTACATTATAAGCTGAATCTCTACAGTTTTATAATTATTGTTTTCTGCTGTTGTCTCTTAAGGCAAATAGGAGAATAAAGAATTACAAACAAAAATACATTTATACTCTCCTTGTTTACCTAAGTAGTTACTTTTATTAGTGCTCTTTATCTCTCTCTGTGGACTTGAGTTATCACCTTTTGATTCTGCCTTTGCAATTACAGTTTGCTATTTCCTCCCACTAGACTAACTTGTCATCACCTAACATTAATTATTTTAAGTTTTCTTGGAAGAATGTTGAAGAATAAAGAGCAGTAGAAAAGACTGAGAAAAATTGAAACAGGAAAAGTTTTTCAAAGTTATAATCCTTGGTAAATTGAAATTAAGTTCAGACTCAAATATCAATTATGGTTCATCGCCAGTTCCTCCCACAGTACGAGACACATAGTCAGTACTTAATAAATACTTTTGGAATGAGTTAGTATGAGTTCACATGATGATTGAAATTTAAATGTTGAATTATCTGAGGCCTAAACCTGGAAAGAATATTGATAGAGTCACATAAACTAATATTAAGTGGTTCTTAAAAAGATTTTTTAGAAAAGAGTCTGTAGAATTTCTAGATTGACTGAGTTCCCTGAATCACATTCTCAAAAAAGGAACTTAAGACATTGATTATAGCAAAGCACTGGTTAATTCTTTTAACAAAGCTGAAAGCTTTTGAGAAAGTCAGACAAGGTCACACGCTTTGCTCACTAATAATCTTACAAATTCCAAAGTATGTAACAGATACCATGCATCTGTAATTTTAAGCAAATAGGATAGGCCCTCCATTTGATGGCTTACTTGATGTAGCCTATGGCACACAAAATGCCTTGGAACTCTGTTTATAGACATTAACAGTTGGAAATTGAGAGTTGCTCAAGCAGCATTCTACATAATCACCCATTTGGGGTTAATTTACTTTATTGTGGCTGCTAAAATGCGCTTAGCTGAACTTGTCATTTTCCATTCCAATCTGTTTTGTAAATGTTTTTAGTTTCACACCCTAAGCATTTTACTGCAAATCTTCTGTATCATATGGTTTGTGCTAGAACATTTCATCAAATGAATGTGGATTTCTAAACCTGTAATACAATTTTGAAGTTACTTTAGAGTTTGAGAAAATAAGAACTATAAGTTTAAATAAGGGAGAAATAAAGTAGATGGAGTTTAGTAATTATCTATTCAATATTTTTTGGAATACTTTCTTAATGCAAGATACCTTGTTAAGTGTTGGGAATTCAATGATGAACAAGACAGATTTAGGTACCCACAGAAGTTTAAAGTTATGTCAATCTGTAAATAAGTGAATAAACAAATAAAAATATCTATTATATGTAATGCACACTTACTAGTGAAAGTATGGAAGTAGGGGATGCTTTTAACACTGAACATTTCTGACCAAAATCTCAATCTCAGTCTAAAATATCTTCATTCCTACATGCTCATTAAATGCTTTTAATCTTTCAAGAAATTTTTCAAATTCCAATTTTTCTATGAATTGTTCTCTGAGTAGTTAAGCAATGGATTCCTCAATGTTTTCTTCTATTGAAATGTTCCCAGAACTTTCTCTTATTCTTCTACTCACTTTTTTTTCTTATAAAGTACTTATTGAGCAACTGATATGCTCTAAGCATACACAAATTGGAGGGATACAAGATAAAGGCTAGAGTAGACAGGCAAATACAAAAGATCATTATAATGTTATTTTAAAAATCCTATGAAAATGGGGCGCTTGGGTGTCTTGGTTGGTTAAGCATTTGACTCTTGACTTCAGCTCAAGTCTTGATCACAGGGTCTTGAGATTGAGCCTGACATCAAACTCCTTTCTCAGCATGGAGTCTGTTTGAGATTCTTTCTCTCTGTCTCCCTCTGCTCCTTCCCCCTTTTGCACTCTCTCTCTCTCAGTAAACAAATAAAATCTTTTTTTTTTTTAAAGTACTATGGAAGAGATCTACTTAAGAAAGTAGTCACAGGGTGATGGGCACTGAGGGGGGCACTTGGCGGGATGAGCATTGGGTGTTATGCTATATGTTGGCAAATTGAACTCCGATAAAAAAAATTTAAAAAAAAGAAAGTAGTCACATACATTGGTTCAACATATACTTGTTATTTTTAATATATAAGCAGAATGAACTGAAAGGATGAATAATATGTTAGGGTATTTTAATTGATAAGCACTTTCTGTGCTCTAGACATTGAATTAATTCATCAAATAAGTGTAATAATTCTTTGAGGTAGATGTTACACAACCCCACTTTAAAATAATGAAAGAGAGGCAGAGAAATTTAAAGAATTGACAAAATTTATGCATCTATTAAATTGCAGAGTCAGGATTTAAACTCATACAGTCTGGACCTTAAGTCTGTGTTTTTTACTTCTCTGTACTATATCATTTCTGATTATTCACTCCTCAGCTTGTAAGAAGATTCCTATTGCCCTTTGACTTGTAATGTCTTTCTGTGAGAAAAGGATCCTTTCCTTCTCCATGGTCAAGCTTAACCAAAATATACGTGTTTTCCCTAAAGTATTACGAGACTTAACATATGCCAGTTCAAAGCAAATATCAAAGAGACATCACAAATTTCTTCCCATTTCCTTGCCCTTTCCCTCAGTCACAGAATGGCATGTCCCAAGAATTACTGTTCCTTTAGACTGTTCTGAAATAAGATGATAAGCATCTGTCCTGTCCTCACTACTGACATGGAACATGAGTGAGATACACTGTTGTTGTAAGCCACCCACACTGGGGTTATTTTTTACAGCAGAATAACCTAGCAAAAACTGACTAGTATAGTAATACTTAGCAAGAGGTGGGTGCAATGGTAACAGACACCCCAAAATATGTGATATCATGGCCAGGTAGAGAGTGTTGAGATAATTATACTAGGATTGAAAAACATAACTCATGTTCTACAATGGTACACATTTGTTACTTTAGTTGAAAAGACTGGGGGTCAGAATGCTAGTAAGTATTGGTACTGGCTACAACTTTAAATAAAAGAAACTTTCTTTGCAAAAATAGGGGAAAAGAAAAAAATTGGAATTATAAGATATACAGTGTTGAAAAATGAAACTGTGGCCTATATTCAACCAGTAAAAGATATCTTGAAAGATGCTTTCACTAACAAAGGTTGAAGAAGACCCAAATTAAGACTCATTCTCAAGGACCAAATACAAAGTTTGTGAAATACTTTTAATGAAATAAGTTAGCCCAATAAATTCTTTCAACTAGGTAAAATATATCAGAGCAAACAGACTAAGGGCACGACTTTTCATGAGCCTGATAAGCTCTAAAATACTGAGTGAAGTACATCTCCAAAAAATGTGGAATTTTTTTTAAGATTTTATTTATTTATTCATGAGAGACACAGGGAGGGGGGCAGTAGAGACATAGGCAGAGGTAGAAGCAGGCTCCCTGCGGGAAACCCGATGCAGGACTCGATCCCAGGACCGACCCCGGGATCACATCCTGAGGCAAAGGCAGACGCTCAATTGCTGAGCCACCCAGGCATCCCAAAATGCGGAATTTTAAAATAAAATGTATAAATACAAGAGGATGAGCTGTATACTTTCCCTAAACTTTTATAAACCATTACACGGTGTTTGTTGGTGATATACTTGGAATCATCAATGTTCAGCTTAAATGTTTCCTGCTTTGAATTAGATACCCTTCCAGCAGGTCTTCCTCTGATCCCCTGGCTTATACTTATTAAGATGATTTTCACTCTGCATCTGACTCTTCCCTTCCTCTAGTCTATGAATTCATCAATGAATTTGACAGGAGCTTTTAGCTTTTATCAGATATACATGGAAAAAATATGATAAATAGTTGATGATTGAATAATAGAGAATGAATACACTCACTGACATAGAAAAAATATCTAACAAACTACAATACTCCCACATCAGCATTATAAACAGTTTCTAAAAGTCTAAATTCTACTGTGCTACAAAAAAATAATAAGATCTTTGATGTCAGAGACGTAACACATAAAATAAAAATGTATCACATAAATCTAATTGAAAAGACAACATTCTTTACATACAGTCCAGGAAACATTAAAGAAATTTTTGTTAGTTTTCATACAAAGTAAAATTTATATCAGTCCTAGCAAAAAAAGTCGATTAATCACAGAGCTTTAAAATTTAAAGTCATTAAGGCAGTTCAAAAAAATACATTCCCTAAATACCACCCTAAAAAAATGTCTAGAACAAGAGATATTTCCATGGCTAGTGCCTTATTTTAGAAGAATACACACTCCTTTGGTTACCATATTATATTGGTTCAATCTACTCTTAAATTTTATTATTTTTAAAAAGATTTCATTATTTTACAGAAAGAGAAAGAGTACATATTGGGGGAGGAACAGAAGGAGAGAATTTTCAAGCAGATTCCCTGCTGAGCGCAGAGCAGATGAAATTCAGGACCCTGGGGTCATGACCTGAGCCAAAATCAAAAGCCTGCCACCCACCCAACTGAGCTATCTAAGCACTCCTCTTGAATTTTATTTCTGAGTACATCCTAAAGAAAACACAAGGAAATTATGTGAAATTACATACCTGGCGACACCAGAGTTTACGAAATATTTGCAGATAAGCCAATACCATAAGACACAGTGGTGCCATGTATGTCACCAGAAAGAAACAGATGTGATACATCTTGGGGTAAATTTCACCTGGAATGAAAGCCAAAATAATAAAATCTTGTTTTATAAATCACAGAATTTTTAAAGGTATATCTGTCAATGCTTTGCCTTAAAAGTACACATTAACTTCTATATGATTTGACTGGCATATTATACACACACACACACACAGGACACACATACAAATATTGTAATATAGTATTAATTACTTACACTTAGTATACACACACTAAATGTGAAATCTTAATTTAACTTAATGTACTCAGAGGAATAACAATTAGCCATTTCTTAATCTGTGTTAACATAGGCTATCCACAGTCAAGCCTTCATTTATCAAAAAGAACTTTTTTTGTCTGATTACCTCTGGCTAATTAATAAAAATTAATTTGGATTGTGCTGCACTTGAATTTGCAATAAGAAACAAGACAATCAAACCTAATTGCTAATCCTTTTGGGAAAAGAATGTAAACTGAGGTGATTCCTCCTCATTAGAAGTTTCCTGAGAAATGAGAAGCTATTCCCAGTTGTACCTCCATATACAAATGTGGAATAACTTTGGAAAATTAAACACAGTGAATATTTAATGATTCTTTTTGTGGATTACTAGAACAATATAAAATTCCTCTTTCAGTAATGTTGTGTGTATATATATATATATATATATATATGCATGTACTTTTAATAAAAGTGATATTTTATGGTTTTTTAAAGTTAATTTTTAAACAAATATGGATTTTTTTTATATTCATATCATTTATTTAGTCATAAGCACTCTAGGATTTTAGTAATTTCTTAGCATTCAGTCTATGCACACAGGTGATACCTACCACAGATTAGGCCTTTGTTAAAGAGTCAATTATTCAAATAATAAATAATATTGCAGTTTAACACAAATTTTTTGGCTTTTCTAAATGTATTTATTACTGACTTTTAATTGTTTTTACTAGTCTTTTTAAATATTTTATTTTTAAGTAACCTTTATATCCACTGTGGGGCTTGAATTCACCCTGAGAAGAAGACTGACATGCTCCACTGACTGAGCCAGCGAGTTCCCCTACTAACTTTTTAAATGCTTTCAAGGATATTTTTCCTATACTCAAATTTGAATATATCACAGTAATCCAGCTACTTTTACTTACATGCAAAACAGGAAACAGAATATATCCTACATGGATTCCATGGATATTAAATGCAACAATTAGATATAATTCTAATTGAATGCTAACAAAACAAAGTTTTTTCCCCTCTTTTTTTCCACTTCTAAAAATTAAGCAACTTAAATCAACTTTGATAGTGGCAAAGAGGTTATTTCCATACTATTTTTGAGGGATAACACTATCACCTCTATGCATTTTATTTTTTTCATTGCTTCAGAAAGGGCATATAAAAGCATGAAGACTCAGTTATGTGATCAAATGTGGTAAGGACGATTTATAGTCAGGATTAGCCAATAATAACTGAATATGACCTCAATAATTGATAACATTTATCGAACATTCATTTAATAGTCGCAAATGTATTTTACATATATATATATATATATATGAGTTGAATATCCTCCACAATCTTGAGTCCATAGCCTTGTCTTCTAGAGTTTGTTGAGTTTGATATTCTCCTAATTCTTCCTTCTAAAACCCTGTCTTCTTTCTCAGGCCGATATTTTTCTTCACTGTTATCCCCAGAGAGGACAGCAGGGTGCCTGTGCTGGCTCAGAGGCCTAAGAGTCCAACTTGGAGCATCAGTTTAGCTCTTTTGTGGCCCACGTGGGCCACATCTAACTCATCAGTTTCTAACTTCTTTCAAGCTTATCCTATAAAGTAGGCCAGTTACAGAAAAAGTGATAGAATCCAAGCAGCCTGGAGGAATGACAGCCTTTCTCTTTGAAATGCTACAGCTTGAGCAGCATTTGGTAAGCCAATTTCTGAGGAGCTAGAGGAGGACATTCAGCACTTCCCAGGCAGCTGAGTGGCTCGAACTTTTGTTTTAAAGGTTTTACCTGATCTTCCCACATAAAAATCCACCTTTGAAACTGACACACCTGTGAAGTAAATTGAGTAAGATTTACTTCAGAGTAAATGCCTATCTGATATCCCTACCTCAGAGTAAATTGAGTGAGTTGAGGGTAGATTTGAGAGTTAGTATTCTTCTTTTTTAATTACAGCTATGGATAATACCATCACTGTGACAACAGTTTGGGTTTTTAACAGCTGGGAGAGAAAGATTATTCTCCAGTCATTATATTTATAAATAGTTGGTAAAATGTGTAATTGGCTGGTTAATGCATATTATGATAATGAACACCCACACAGAGAAAAGTTGATCAAGTGAAATTGCACATGCAGGCTGGGATTGAATGTTTTAATAAAGAGATTATTTTAGATAATCGGGGAAACATGATAGTTTTAACATTCTTCATTTCATGCTTACAATCTAAGCTAAATGAAAACCCAGAAATGCCATTGGAATTCTATGTTTTATGTGTTGAAACTATCTTTGCAGTCTCTCTCTGCACTTGATGAACAATGTCTTCAATATATTTAAGACATTTATAGAAACCGAAAGTGTAGTGACAGGACATTTGTTCCACTTAGCAATCGCACTCTAAAACTGCATCTGAATGGGTGACGGGCACGGAGGGGGACACTTGACGGGATGAGCACTGGGTGTTATTCTGTATGTTGGTAAATTGAACACCAATAAAAATTAATTTATAAAAAAAAAACAAAAAACTGCATCTTAAAGATTGGCAATCAGGGGATCCCTAGGTGGCTCAGCGGTTTAGCGCCTGCCTTTGGGCCAGGGCACGATCCTGGAGTCCCAGGATTGAGACCCACGTTAGGCTCCCTGAGTGGAGCCTGCTTCTCCCCCTGCCTGTGTCTCTCCCTCTCTCTCTGTGTCTTTCATGAATAATAAACAGAAATCTTTAAAAAAAGAGAGATTGGCAATCATTCAAAATTGGTGTCTTTACTCAATTGATGAATAGACACAATGTGAATCAATTCTTGCATATATATCAAACCAATAGGTAAGAAGAAAATGTGGATATTTAGTCTTTGAAATCAGAGACCAAAGAATAATATATTAATAAGACAAGACTTAGTCTCAGATGAGTTGTTACATTATTGAGCCAACATGTTAATCTCATTATCCAAAAAACTACAAACACTTTCTCTTTCATGTTACAACTATCAGGAACTCAATGGGTAAGTAAATTAAATATAATTTCCCATATATTTGATATAGACTATCTTTTACAAAGTTTATAGATCCATTAAAGTTTACCAGAATCCCTAATATATCTTACTATCTTCTAATAAATGTTTTCCATAAGTATATGCATACATATACACATATGTATATATATTTTCAAAATCTTATAATAGGACAGATGCTATAACTAGTTTGATTGTAAAGAAGAGTTCCATTATTATTTCTTTCAGACCATCAAAGAACAATCCAGCAGTAAACTCTAAGAAAAGAGAGATTATGATTCCTCAGTGTCTAGAAAAATGTTTGACTAACAGTATATGCTCATTAAACATTGGATGACTGGTGAGACAATTGTATCATTGAGTGCAGAAAAGAAATTACTTTCTTTCCAATAGGAACTATTCTGTGCAACTATCCATTTATGAAGCAAACAAGGACCTTTGGGTAAATTCTAGAATAATTTAAAAATTTTAGAAGTGTGAATTAATTTAACATCTAAAGACATGCTTTAAAGATCATTAAAATAAATATTAACACATATTATTTGTTTTTGAGTATCAAGTGTGTCTGCCAGAAGTTATGGTTTATGGTCATTTTTTTGAACAAGTCATAATCCATAAAAAATACAATGAGTTGCAGAAATAATTTATCCACAAAATATTAAATATTTCTGGTAATATTTTCAGTAAGACTAAGACAGTGTTCTTAGTTATTTTGTACCATGAGTGAGATAGCATTTGCAAGACTTTCCTAAAAGTGATTTGATATGAATCAAATGACCACATTGTTCACTGACTCCATCCATGCTAGAATATATTGGTTGTAAGACAATTATGATATCACCGTCTGCTTTTGCAACTACATTATTGATTTAACTTAGGATAAAAATTAGAAACATAATTCATGAATTAGGCTCAAATAGAAGATATTTCACAATAAATTTTTAAAAATTGGGCTAAATGGTTTTGGACTTGAAAGATGTTTGAACTTTAGAAAGCTAACATTGTAAAATATAATTTCCTATGGCCTTTTTAGGTTGTGACTATCACAACATATCTTAGTTTTAACATTTTAATCTAAACATAGACTTTCAAATAGCCTACATCAACAAAGCTTATGCTATGTAAAAATCATTATAATAAGCAGTCTAATGATCAAAATGATAAGAACCTGCTATTGTTCTTTATATTTTTCTTGAAAGCATTAAGTGATTAACAATTTCATTTAATATTCAAAAAGACAGTTTCGTAAATTTTATTGTTTGATTATGTGGATGATAAATGCAATTTTGATTGCTTAGTTTAAGCCTTTATAATCATGTTAAGTAATTGTAGGCTAATATAAAATCATCTCCAAATAGTTTTCCTAATATAAAATCATTTTCAAATAGTTTTCTGAAATTACTTCTGAAGGCTGAGTTTATATTTTTAAATATTCAACAGTAGAGCCTCCTGGGTGACTCAATCAGCTACGTGACCAATTTTTGTTTTAGGCTCAGATCATGATCCCTGAGTTCTGACACTGAGCCCAGGTAACAGGTTCTGTGGTCAATGTGAGGTGGGCTTCATATTCTCTCCCTCTCCCTCTGCCCCTGCCCCTGCTTGTGCTTTCTTACCCCCTCTCTCTTTCTCTAAAATAAATAAAATAATAAATAAATAAAAATAAATAAATAAATAAATAAATAAAGCAATAGTAGTTGCTGGCTTTTTAAAGAAAATGTCTCTGCTACAGCTAGATCGCAAAATGCTAAAGGTTGAAATGAATTTTATTCATATTTTTTGCTCAAAGCAATTAGAAAATGATGTGGCTATTTATTTCATCAGAATAACTGATAGGATTCCTTAGCTCTGCAATCTTTCTGCTAATGAAGATGAATGCTACTTAATTATTCAGGGCAACATTAAAAAAAAAGAAAAAGGAAGAAAGAAAGGAAGAAAAGCTTATAAAAGCAGTCCACAAACTTACAAATCAATTACCAAAATATTTTTGAGAACATACTAATGACCGTGTTAAATAATAGGTAGGTATTTTAATCTAATTACTACTTTCATAAACTTAAAGGATCCAAGTTTTGAGTTGGAGGCTTAGATCTAAATATACTTCTTTGCTTCATAACCTGCTCAATTCCATCATTAGTTAACTAAAGTATTCTGATCAAGAGATCTTTAGGGTTTTCCAGATAGAAATCATTGTATTAAGAATTGCATTAGGGACTTCGGGGTGGATTAGCTGTTAAATGTCTGCCTTCAGTTTAGTGTGCGATGCTGGAGACCCGGGATCAAGTCCCACATCAGGCTTCCTGCATGGAGCCTGCTTCTCCCTCTGCCTGTGTCTCTGCCTCTCTCTCTTTCTCTCTGTGCCTCTCATGAATAAGTAAATAAAATCTTAAAGAAAAAAAAAGAATTTCATTAGGGACAGGTCACAATTGGTCCCCAAACCACCTTCTTTCCAAACATACTTCTTTAGACTGCATATCTCTACATTGTGTACACTACAGGTTTGGACTGTCTTCTTTACTTCTTCAAGTGGTGCTGCTCATTGAGTGGATTTTCTTGCTTTCTGGACACCGTTTCCTCTCTTCTCTGTATGGAGAATTTCTCCTTATCTTTAATTCTTTGCTGAAATGTTAGCAGCTCCTTCACAAACTTTGGTCCAAATGGCCAGGAATGAGTTTGTTCTTTCATTTGTGTGCCTAGCACTTTGGATACCAGAATATTAAAAAACTAAGCACACTATAAACATTTGTTTATTTACCTTGTGTCTCACTACATGGAATGTGTTCCCCTAGGCAGAGTCTGTTTCTCTCTAGGTTGGCATCATTCCTGGTATATCCTAAGTACTCAAGATTTTGTTGGAACATTAAATAAATGAGACTTAAGACTCTTAAGGAGTATTCTTACCATTTGAGAATTTTCCATTACTTTTGTTTTTGTCTGCACTGTTACTGGGGAAAATTGGGGAAATATGAAGATAATCCAGAGAAAATATAGCAAGTGAATTACAATGTTAGAAAGGAAGGCGAAGTCTAAATTTCAAAAAGGGCTAGCTAACTTTTGGGATTAGAGACACAGCAAATTGTGACGTTTTAGTTAATATAGGTCTTTGGATAATATATGAAAAATAATCCCAGGGCCTTTTCAATTTTATCCTGTTACAGTGAAAGCATATGCCTAATTTTTAAATTCCTGACTTTTTTCTTTTCAGTGTTCCAAATCAAAGTATCAAGGTAGGAGTTTCATATAAATGCAAAGATGCAAATACCTGAGAATACCAGATCCATAAGAAATCCATAGGATATACTGCTTTTGTTCATAATCTTCTAATAAGCATAAATGTACATCTGCCTAATAAACAAATTCTTTCCTAATGTTTAATTTCCCTAACTATGAGCTATTGTTACATACTTATCCAGAACAGGACAGATCAGTTTCCTCAAATTTAGTGTAATAATTTTGTAACCAGTACATGACATACAGGATTATTTAATTTCTTGTCATTCTTTGCTGTGTCCAGTTTTGTGTCCTGATCACACATTGATAGAAATGTTTCCCTTGTTATAGAAAAACCTCAAAGGCTGTCACTGAGAGTTTTGAGCCAAGGAGCATAAGGCCTCCAAACTTCTACTCGTTTAAATTTAACTGTCATACCTATCAGATTGGAAACCAGAAATCATTCATAATTAATATAATTCTTAAATCAGAAAATAAGTATGCTAGTGATAGCTTATCAACTTAATATGTTATGAATAAACATAGCATATGGAGATCATTTGACTCAGAGAAGAGCATAGGTCTACATACTCAACTTCAGTCAGGTTTGCAGGCAGGACATGGGTTTTAAAATAAAATTTCCAGTTGTATCTAAGGAATTTACACTTGAGGCAATATAACCTTGTACTATTTTGTAAAATGTTAATTATTCCAGAATACATATCTGGATTGTAGAAAGGAGCCCTTTTTGTTTTGGAGAACTTAAGAAAAGCTGCCATAATCAATTCTGAATTATAGAAAAAGACTTTCCTTTTGTTCCTATCTGAAAAATATGAAAACCAGAAAACTGTGCATTATATTTCCAAAGGACTAAATAGGCAGAGCTATTCAGTGAAATGGTTTTGGGTTTTGACCTTGTTTTCATGCTTTTGCAAAACTGTACTAATAGATGTCAATAAAACAATAAAGTCAGCTTTATAATGGCTTTGCAAATCAAATTTTTAGTTTGCATCTGTAATATAAATGTCAGCTTATGGGCCATAATGTACTTACCACCCCAGCGTTCATCACACACTGTAAAGAGAGTGGTTTTATTGGCTAAACCAGGGAGCATGGTGCTGCACTCCATGACGATGGCCTGAGGAATCATTATAATGCAGGAGACAATCCAAATGATGACAATGCTGTTCCTGGCCCTCTTGGCTGTGCTCTTAAACATCAAAGGGTGACAGATTGCATACCATCGATCCAAGGCAATGCAGCTCAGTGTGAGGACAGACACAGACACTGACACAGTCTAGGAAGAAAAAGAACATAGGATAAGAGAAGCACTTGGTGTTAAATGGATTGTTCTTAATATACTTACTATATTAAAGAAAGGGTTGCACAGATAATTGGATTCAAAGTTGTGAGAAAATATTCCATGTAAGGTTTTTCTTACTATCTTACATATTTTTATAAAAATATAATATATAAATATAAAATATTAAAAATGTATTATTGAAAAACCTATTTCCTATTAAACATGATAAAGGTGCTATGAAAAATTTGCCAGACTATGAAATAATTTTATGCCAAATCTGTTAATTTGTAATATGCCATTCTTTAAGTAATTATTGCTATCATTTTAACTTGCAACTTTGCACTGACAGGGAAAAAAGTCTTCAAAAAATAGAAGATATATATTTAGCTTGAACTGGAAAACTTTCACTTATAAAGATAATATGACATATATTGCTTTTAAAACATCATATAGATATTTGACTGTGATGCATTTAATTAACATTTTTAAACATTTATGGATACCTCAGTCTATTTTCAAATAACAAACACTTTTTGTACATTGGTTTGTTTCCAGCATGTTGCACCCAAAAGCAGAAGTTACGTTAGAAGCGAATTCTGGATGGATTTCCTCACCAGAGTTTGCTCATTGCTGGTGTAAGCAACTTGCCTCTAAAACTCAAATAGATTCACCTAGTCCAGATTTCCATAGTTAATGTCAGTTAATTACAATGTGGGGCTCGATTTCATGATTTAGTAGATCATGACCTGAGCCGAAATCACAAATTGGGTTTTAAACAGCCACCCAGGCATCCCACACATTTTACAGTTTTAAGCCAAATGTATATGTGTTGTTATCGTTTTCTGTTAAATGAGTGAAACTGACTGGATACAATTATTGTTACTCTGATTCTTTTGATTCTCTCTTGAAAACAGTACAGTTGAAATCAATTCTGCAACAAGGTTACCTGGGCATGAACCCCATCTCACTTGATAAATGTATGATCCTGGGTAAGTTTCTTAACCTCTGTATACCTCAGTTTTCTCATCTGTAAAACTGGATGATAATAGGACCCAACCATGGAATAACAGGGAGCGTCAACTGGGATGTGAAATACCTAGCCCTGGCCTGCTGCATAAACGTTGTGTAAGTGGTTGTTACTACTTACTATGATATGGCAATGATAATGATTGTACTTTAGTTTTCTCTTCCATTCTCAAGTTCGGTAGTCTATCTTTTAAGTGGAACAGATTGCTTTTTAGTGAGGAAAAAAAGCATAGAAATTACAAGTAAAGGCCTAAACTATGCTAAATTCTTGGAGGTTAATTGCATTTTGAGTGTAATCTTAAAGGTTGAACTCTATCAGAGATGGTTTAGATTGGTTGGTGACTCTTGAGAATTACTTGGTCTTAGAGCTAATTCAAGTGTCCTTCTTAAACCAACCCCTTGCCTCCCAACTCTCATTCTTTCCCTGCAAATATGCAAGCACTCAAGGCCCCTCAAATGCTATTGGTAATTTAGGAATAGAACAGTGGTAGTCTAGATCTGCACAGCTGACCTTCATAGTTGCTGGGCTGGGGATATATTTATGCCATCTAGCTATCAGAAGTGTAAAATGCTCAACAAGGCTTAGTATTTATCATTCATGAATTGTAATCAACATGGGTGGGTGGGATAGAAGTAGCATGCCTCAAATTCAAAAGTCATTTCTAGCATTTTCCCTTACTATTAAGCAGTAATAATCAATTAAGAAGCAGTTCACTTGAAAGACCATCATCCAGTGTCAGCAGTGAGCCAAGGAGCAGTGGCTTCTCTGTTATGTGTCAATATGATAGAATATGCTGACATGGTTAACCTAACAGTAGAATCTATTTAATGGATGCTTGGCAACCAGTGATTTTACATCCACTGTTTGACTACTGTATTTGCTAGTGCATAATACACACTAGTATTCAATTAACAATATTGTCTTGGGGGTATATAAAATTGCATCTTAGATTAGGTGATTACAAATGACAATTTCTTGCTGCTTTTACTTCTAGGAGTGCACTTCTGGGTGCCTTTTTCATTTAGAGTTTGATATTAGCTTAACCTGATAGCAAATCATTTGTGAATGAATCCAGTGGAGATTATGAATTTTATAAATGAAGTGGGATAAGATGATGAGAACTTCTTTTGTTAGATGCTTGACCTTTCACCCATATTATGGGCACCCTGTGGTCAGGGCAATGCTGGAGACTTGCTTTGGTAGCCAATGACTCTGTTCTATGCTAGCATATAGCTATGACAAAAAGACCTCAGAGATCTAAGGCAGGTAAAAATGGAAATTTGGGGGGGCACTTAGCTGGTTCAGTCAGTAGTATAGCATGAGACTCTTGATCTCAGGGTTGTGAGTTTGAGCCCCATATTGGGTATAGAGATTACTTTAAAATTTTAAAAAGAAAAAAGAAATTTTGCCACACCACAGATTTGGATATGGGCAGTAATGGATTGGAAGGTGAGAAAGTGTGACTGAGGAGTGAGGGACCCTCCCCTCCCCCCCCCCCCCCCCCCGCCCACCACCCACCACCTACCACTTCCATTTCATTCAGGTTTTGTTCTTTTCCTGACCTTTGTTGTGTGGAGCTTCTTCTGCAGTTGAAAAAAAAAAAGTCACCCTGAAACAGTACCCAACTGCTCCTCTAAGTGTGAGAAGAAAAATGAAATATGTTATAATTTTCTAAGAAATTCATGGTAATTATTCAGTAAATAGCCCAGTAAATGTTAATGGTCTTGGATTTATAGAATTATTAAAGATACAAAAGGGTCATTTGAATTACTCAGCAAAGCTTTATTACCTTTGTGAGATTTTTATGATTTGGGGGCATTTTCTGAAGTGTTACTGTGTATCAGTCATAAACCTAAAGGTTGTATTTAGAAGAGAAAGGACCGATAAGTCATAGAAAATTAGTACATGTCCAAAGAATCTTAAATATAACCAAACAACCTTAAAATCAGGCTGGATAAATGTTTTTGTAATATGATTTTAAACATTTAATAGGACATATGTTTCATATCAGGGACAAAAGCCATCAGTCAGAATATCACCAACTAAGGGAAAATATTCAAATTTGAATGAGTGGCTTATTGTCCATTGATACTGTTCATTCCATTTAAAGAAATTCTACGAAAAATGGGCAATCAATGCTGAGAAAATTTGGAGATACTAGTTTTACCAGTGCACCAAGTTATTTGTGCCTTTATAACTTTTCATCAAGAAGTAGTGCAGATTGAGGTAATGAATAGATCTAGTCTTTTTCATTGGACTCCGATCTTGTGGCTACTCAGGAGGTTTTGTTTTTTTTTTTTTTTTTTTTTGGCCTATGGAGGAGAGAATCAATTGAGGTCTTGATTAGACAGGACACTATTTATAGAGAAGCAGACAAAACCTCTCAGGAAATGGAGATGTTTCATCACCGTAGGACTTGCTACTAAGTTGTGCTCAATTGAAATAGTACTGTCAATAACTTTAAGAGAGACCCATGCCCTGTATCACTCACTGGATACATACTATATCCAGTTTGTCTTTGAGTACTCACAGGACAGTCTCGAATACCTGGTCTAAAAAGTTAGAGCAGTTGTATTAGAGCAGGACTATACATATTATAGGATGATACACTCCTCCCTCATCATCCCACAGTTCACTGGAGAATCTTCTGGTTTGTAGAGAGAGCATAAAATATTTTTGCTCAGCAAATAGAAGATTCTGGACAAGTGTAGCGAACTTGGAACTTAAGAGGACCTCTCAAATTTTCCCCTGGGTAGTTATTAGAACCAAGAGATGGTGAAATATTAGAATTCTGGGCTGTCATTTTTCCAGTGACTCCATGCAAAACCATAAGACCCATTTCTTACTGATTCTTTTTAAAGATTCTATCATCTATCTATCTATCATCTATCTATCTATCTATCTATCTATCTATCTATCTATCTATCACCTATCTATCTAATTTATTTATTTGACACAGAGAGAATATAGGAAGAGAGAATATAGGTAGGTGGAGTGGCAGAGGAAGAGGGAGAAGCAGACTCCCCACTGAGCAGAGAGCTGGACTTGGGGGCTTGATCCCAAGACCCGGAGTCATGACCTGAGCTGATGGCAGATGCTTAACCGACTGAGCCACTCAGGCACCCCACTGATTCTTTTTAATAAGGATAATTTTCTTTGTTGCTTAATGTACTATTTATCTCAAAACAAATAAAATTACTGAATTATGTAACATTCATAATTTTCATCTGACTGGTCAAACTAACCTTACAGCTAATATTTGCAATATAGCTTATAATGTCCATGGCATTTTATACTTGCTATTCTATCAGTGATTTCTAATCTAATCTAAAAAATCATGACTTCTCTTTATAAGAGGTTATTGAAGAACTATTTAGCTAAAGATCTCTTCATAACACTTCAGAACAAAAAACTTTATCAGCATAATTTCTAGCAATGGGCTATTTGTGTCTCCCCAAACTTTTTGTTTTATTAAAACTTTATTTTTGGGGTACATGTCAGATCACAGCAAAATTGAGAAGAAGATACAGAGATTCGCCATATGCTTCTTGTCTCTCCCATTATCAACATCCCTCCATCAAAGTGGTACATCTGTTATAATTGATGAACCTACCTTGACACGTAATAGTCACCTAAAGTCCATAACTTATTTTGTGGTTCCCTCTTGGTGTTGTACATCCTATGTGTTTGGAAAAATGTATAATGACATGTATTTACTATTATATTATCATAATCTATCTCATCCTTTCCCACCTCTAGCAGCCATTTATCTTTTTATTGTCTCTCTAGTTTTACTTTTTCCAGAACATCATATTATTGAAATAATACAATATGCAGCCTTCTCAGCTTGGTAATAAGCATTTAAGTTTTCTCCATGTCTTTTCATGGCTTGATAGTTCATTTTAGTTCTGAACAATATTCTACTGTCTGGATGTACCACAGTTTATTTATCCATTTGCCTACTGAAGGACACCTTGGTTGCATTCAAGATTTGGTGATTGTCAATAAAGCTGCTATAAACATTTGTATGCAAGGTTTTGTGTAGATGTAAGTTTTCAACTCCTTTGGGTAAATACCAAGGAATGCCACTGCTGGATCATATGAAGAGAGTATGTTTAGTTTTATAAGAAACTCCCAGAGTATGTTTCAAGGTAGCTGTACCATCAGAAATAAATTGGAGCTCCTGTTGCTCCACATCCTCACCCTCATTTGGTGTCAGTGTTCAAGAATTTGGCCATACTAATAGGTATACAGTGGTATTTCATTATTGTTTTAATTTGCATTTGGCTGATGATATATGTTGAAGAGCATCTTTTCATATGCTTCTTTGTGATTTGTATATCTTATTTGATGAAGTCCTGTTAAAGTTTTTTTGCCCCATTTTTAAATAGGGCTATTTGTCTCCTTATTGATGAGTTTTAAGAGTTCTTTGCATCTTTTGGATATTAGTCCTTTATTATATGCATCTTTTGAAAATATTTTTTCCTGGGTCTTTGTCTTCTCATTCTCTTGTCTTTCATAGAGAAGCTTTTAATTTTAGTGAAGATGATTTATCAATTATTTCTTTCAAGGATCATGCCTTTGGTGTTATAGCTAAAAAGTCATCAACATAATCAAGATTATTTAGGTTTTCTTCTTTGTTATCTTCTATGAGTTTTATAGTTTTACATTTTATACTCAGGTCTATGATCCATTCTGAGTTAATTTCTGTGAAGGGTGAAGTATCTGTGTCTAGGTTTTTATTTTTTTTGCATGTCCAATTGTTCTTCTACCTGCACCAACTTTTCATTACTGGGAGCCTATTTTCATCCCTTCCAAATATTGTTATCACCATCTGAGAAATGAGGGAGTAGGGAATGAGGGGAGGAGGATGGTTACAGGAAGACAAGCAGAGAGTGGGCATAATCTCATTCACTGTCCAATTGCTAAAGGGAATCCACCTCTTTGAGGGCTGTGGCTGTGGCCACTAGCTTGAAAATTTTCAAAGATTTTAGAACTATCAGAATATCCATCACAAAATTATTCTCTGAAAGTGTTTGTTCTCAATTTCTTATAGGACAATTCATTGTAGAAAAGCTACTTTCACATAGAATAAAATGTCTAATTATGATGATGACTGATGTTTATTGAAAGTATGCTATATTTTCACAAGATTGCCATCTTCCAGAGGGTAATCACTATGACAAGTAATTTATAGAGAAATTAGCTAAGTAGAATGTCATAAGAACTATAGGAGTTAGTTATAATTAAAATTATTACCGTTCTCTAACAAGTGAATCACAAAGAGCTTATGTATTTGGCTCAATAGCATATATTAAATAAACAGCAGAACAGAGATTCCAAGCCTGGTAGTCTGATTCAGAACCAACACTAATATCTGATCACTGTATTGCTTTGATGATATAGCTTTAATGTCTTAGTGTGAAACAAAACCACTTATAAAAATAGACTTTGCTTTAAAAAAAAGACTGGAAAAGGCTCAATCATTAATTTGTTCAATTTCCTTATTTTCAACGGAAAAGTTAAAGATCAAAGAAATAATAGGTTTGTTTAGCATCTAATGATGAATTGAGTATCCTATTGCTTTACTTTTTACACAGAACTTTATTTACGAAAAAGTATCAAGTGTTATTTTTCTTAAGTTTGCTAATTCCTTAAGCAAGTGTATTTTTCTCTTAACTCACTAATTTACCAGATGATTATAACTGAAACTACTTTCAATACTTACTTGAAAATACTTTTTCAGGGCAGCCCCGGTGGCGCAGCGGTTTAGCGCTGCCTGCAGCCAAGGGCGTGATCCTGGAGACCCGGGACTGAGTCCCACATCAGGCTCCCTGCATGGTGCCTGCTTCTCCCTCTGCTTGTGTCTCTGCCTCTCTCTCTAGCTGTTTCTCTGCCTCTCTCTCTAGCTGTGTCTCTATGAATAAATAAATTAAAAAAAAAGAAAATACTTTTTCAGTAGCTTCTGTGTTTAGATAAGAAGAAGTGTGAAAAACAATTACCTGTAAATAAGGAATAACTTTACAGAGGGACTGTCCAAAGAACCAGGTCTCAGTGATGTCCACAACCAATGTGGCTGGAAGGCAGGTAATGGTCACAAGCACATCAGCTAAAGAAAGGTTGACTATGAAGTAGTTGGTTACCGTCCTCATGTGGTGGTTCTTCCACACAGCCACACAAACTAATTTGGGGGGGAAGAAAAGAATAGTAACTGTTAAGGATTAAATATTTGCATCCTCACAAAATTCATATGTTGAGTTCCTAGCACCCTGTGTGATGGTATTAAGAGGTGGGTCTTCATGAAGTGAATAGATTATGGTTCTAGAGCCCTCAAGAATGGGATAGTGCCCTTATAAAAGGGACCCTAGAGAAATCCTTTGACTCTCTCACCATATGAGGACACAGTGAAAAAACTGCTGTCTATGAACCAGGAAATAAGGCCTTGCCAGACACTGAATCTGCCAGTCTTGATCTTGGACTTCTCAGATTCCTGAACTGTGGGAAATAAATTTATGTGGTTTATAAGCTACCTAATTTATGGTATTCTGTTATAGCAGCCCAAATAGATGAAGACAGTAACTATACAAAGAAAATAGGTAATGATGAGGAAACACAGCCAAGCTAATCAATACTCCTACAAAGTCCACAATAAACATTGAAGAAGAAAGATTTTTTTAAGTCTGTACTGTTCTCATTGAATCAGTTTGTGTAAATCCTGAATCCGTGCATAACATCAGTTCATTTACCTTACAAGACATTTCTCAATGATCAAAAGATCATAATAAGATTGCCTCCATTTCTACTTGATTTTGAATTGTGATTCCCAGCAGTTAAAGAACAATCTTTGATTCTTTTTTCTATTCCCTCAGTACTCAGCATGTAGTAGACACTCAAGAAATATTTACTGAAGTGAGATGAATTAGGAGCTAGCTACTTCCAATTAACTGTGGTGTTTGCCTCAACCATGACATTGGCTATCTGCTCCCAAACTCTGCATTTGAAACTTCTAATTGATGAAGAGTTTTAAAGTCAAAAGCCAAAAATTATTCAGCCCCTATCATTGGCAAACATTGAGCTATATAGTTCATATACTTAGGTCATTTAATCTTGACAATCCCAAGGGAAGACATTGTTACCATCATTTTATACATGCAGTATTTGAGACACAGGGAATTTGTGGAGCTTGGCTAGGGACAAATGGCTCATAAAGCACAGAATTACACCAACCACTGGGATTCAACACAAAGTGAGGAGCTGATCTTTTCACCATGCTTCTTTCTTTCTTTCTTCTTTCTTTCTTTCTTTCTTTCTTTCTTTCTTTCTTTCTTTCTTTCTTTCTTTCTCTTTCTTCTCTTTCTTTTTTGTGGGGGAAAATGAGCAAGTTATAACAAAGCACATATAAACTCTAGAGACTCAATCCTCTTTCCTCTCTATTACTCTTGATGGCCTCTACACATCACCTCAAATCAAACACATTTTTCAATACTTTCAGAGTTGAGCCTTCCTCGTTGCCTTTCAGTTTATCTTCATATTAAAAAGCTGTTCTATCTTATTCAGTTGCTCTTTATGGAAAGAACATCCAGTTCCTCAATTCTCTGTCCTCTGTGTGGTGTATCCAAAGATTACATAGTCAGTGGCTCAAGAATTATATAGGTGTGAGAACTGCTCACATCTATTGATGGGTTGCTTCACTGAAAGTAACTGTATTTGCCTTGGGGATGATCAGCCTGTCAGAGCTGTCACCTATGCACCCAAGTGATGCAGTAATTAGTAACCTTATAGAGTGAAGAAATAAAAGCACACTTTGTTAAATTTAAGTCACTAAATAAAGATTTCTTTTTGACAATCATGTATTATTTAAGAGTTTCATATGTTTAAAAATGCTTTCAGTAGCTTCTGGAACTGAAATTACCTTTCAGTCACCAACAGAGGCTAACTCAATACCTGAATTTCTGAGCATTTAATCTTTAAAAACTTTACATATTTTTCTAATTCCAGCACATTAGTACCCAAAAATTCAGATGAGCTTTATTAGGATAAACTGTAGTCTTTATTATTTGAAAGTAATACTGCTGAATGATTTGCTTCCCAGAAACACTTGAAGACACACACACAGACACATGCACAGGCACACTAGCAGTGACTAACACATTATCATGGCTTGTTATTGGAAAATTGATATAAGTGTCACACCACTGATGGTCAACGAATGGTCCAAATGGTGCAACTTTGGATTTAGGAAAGAAAAAAAGACTTAAAAAAATACAGTCAGTTCCAGAATGACTCCCAATTCTCCATAATTTGGAGGAAAAGCACTGATGGAAATACAGTGTTGATGTATTATGACTAGCCAATATGAGAAAAGTATAATTTCAGGCAACATTTCTATACAACTTACTATGTACTGTAAATTGTTAACTAGTTTAATTCTCATGATAACACTATAAGTGGTTATTATTACTATCCCCACTTAACAGGTATGAAACAGGCTAAAAAGGTTAAGGAAACTACATAAGGACAAATAATTTGTAAGTGCTAGAGCTTACATTAAATCTTATCCTCAATGCTATGTCATTTTAATATATTTTTTGAGTATAGTTGACACACAATGTTACATTAGTTTCAGGTATACCACTTCATGATTCAGCAAATTTATACATTATTCTATGTTCGCCACAAGTGTGGTGATACCATCTGTCTTGTTACTTACTATTCCAATATCATTAATTGTATTCCTTAGGCTCTGCCTTTTATTCCCATGACTTACTCATTCCATAATTAGGCCTCTAGGGGTTAATATCCTTATAAGAGGTTAATATCCAAAATATATGAAGAACTTATACAACTCAACACCAAAACAATAAACAATCTGAGTAAAAAATGGGCAGAGGATCTGAATAGTCATTTTCCAAGGAAGACATATGATTGTCAACAGACACATGAAAATATACTCAACATCACTAATTTTCAGGGATATACAAATCAAAACCACAATAAGATATCATCTCATACCTGTTAGAATGCTAAAACAAAAGATATAAGAGAGGTTGGAAGATGGTGACAGAGTAGGGGAATTCTAGACTCAACTTGTCCCACAAATACAAGATAACTATCAAAACATCCTAAGTACCCCAGAATTTGACCTGAAGCTTGGCAGAACAAACTACAAAATTAAAGGTAGAGAAGAAGCCACATCAAAGAAGGAAGGAAGAAAGAGCAGAGATGCAGTTTGGAGAGAAACAGATCATGGTCATTGTAGGCAGCCACAGTTGCGTAGAAGAGCTAGAGACAGACTAGTACACAGGAGAGTGCACAGGAAAAACAAATTCCCGTGGCAGTTGGGTTGGAAAATAAGAGGGGCCGAATTTTGTGAGTTCTTTCAAATAGCAGGGCTCAAAGCCTGGAATTTTAAAGGTCAGGGGGTTTGGCTAGGATAGAGCCAGGCGGACGTGGGGCTGCTCTTGGAGAAAAGGAAGGGCAAATAGCTGGCAGACATATAGCATGGACACAGCAATTTGAAGAGCATCTGGGGGACATTAATAAACATACAAAAATAGAGAGAAAGAAATTCAAATGTATCACTGAAGAAAATAAGCAAACCATGAAAAAGAGAAAGATAAAGAATATCTTCAGAAACAACATGAAACAAGTAATAAAATGACAATAAATAATTGTCTATCAGTAATTACTTTGGCTGTAAATAGACTAAATGCTCCAATCAAAAGACACGGGGGTAACAAATTGGATAAAAAAACAAAATCCATATATATGCAGTCTACAAGAGACTCATTTTAGGCCTAAAGACACCTGCAGATTGAAAGTGAAAGAATGGAGAAATATCTGTTGAGCAAATGGTTGTCAAAAGAAAGCCGTAGTAGTAATACTTATATCAGACAAAATAGATTTTATAAAAAAGATTGTAATAAGAAACAAAGGACACCATATAATACTAAAGAGGACAACACAACAAGAAGCTACAACAATTGTAAATATGTACCCAACATAGAAGCACCCAAATACATTAAATAGTTCATAACAAACAAAAAGGAACTAATAAGTAATAATACAATAATAGTAGGGGACTTTAACATCCCATTTATATCAATGAGCAGGTCATCTAAATAGAACATCAACAGGGAAACAATGTCTTTGAATGACACTCTGGAACAGATGGATGCAACAGATATATTTAGAACATCCCATTCTAAAACAGCATAATATACATTCCTTCATTAGAACATCCCATTCTAAAACAGCATAATATACATTCCTTTCAAGTGCACATGGAACATCCTCCAGAATAGACCATTGATTAGTCCACAAAAAACAAGCATCAACAAATTTAAAAAGATTGAAGTCATATCTTTCATCTTTTCTGGCCACAATGCTATGAAACTAGGAGTCAATCACAAGAAAAAAGCTGAAAAGATCACAAATAGATGGTTGTTAAATAACATACCACTAAACACTGAATGAATCAACCAGGAAATAATCAACCAGGAAATAAAAAAGTACATGGAAACAAATGAAAATGAAAACACAGGTCCAAAACCTTTGAGATGCAGAAGTAGCTCTAAGAGGGAAGTTTATAGCTATTCCGGCCTACCTCAAGAAGCAAGAAAAATCTCAACTAAGCAACCTAATCTTATACCTAAAGGAGCTAGAGAAAGAACAACAAACAAAACCTAAAATCATCAGAAGGAAAAAAAATAAAGATTAGAACAGAAATAAATGATACACAAACTACAAAAAAAAAAAAAAGAAGAACAGATTAATGTAATTAGGAGCTGGTTCTTTGAATAAAAAATCCTCAGAGTTAAAAATAGATCTGCCCTAGGACCCAGCAATTGCACTACTGGGGATTTACCCCAAAGATACAGATGCAGTGAAACGCCGGGACACCTATACCCCGATGTTTATAGAAGCAATGTCCACAATAGCCAAACTGTGGAAGGAGCCTCGGTGTCCATCGAAAGATGAATGGATAAAGAAGATGTGGTTTATGTATACAATGGGCTATTACTCAGCCATTGTCTCAGAAATGACAAATACCCACCATTTGCTTCAACGTGGATGGAACTGGAGGGTGTTATGCTGAGTGAAATAAGTCAATAGGAGGACAAACATATGGTCTCATTCATTTTGGGGAATATAAAAAATAGTGAAAGGGAATAAAGGGGA